ATTAACACTTGTTACGATCAATAACAAATCAAGGCGAGAGAATATACTAAAATTTGGAGAGAATTCCAGGTCCATATCAGCAAGACTCAATAAATACGCCAAAAACTCATGTGGAGAGTATAATAGGCCTTGGTATTAAAAATTTTAATTCTATTCGCACCGTGGTGTGAGAGTTCGACAAAGGGGAGCTACTTAAAGTAAGAGAAATGTGTAGCGGATTGCTTCACTGACCAAACTTATGCTTTGATCTCCCAAAAGCAAGAACTCCTAGTTTGGAATGGTTCCAAGATTAGCGAAGCAACCGTAACGCTTTAGAGGAAACAGGCAGATGACAAGGAATTGTAGCGGTTTGCTACACTAGTAAAGCCTGACTGACTCAGAACTCTCTATGGCAGATTCTTCAACATCTAGCTAGACTCCCAGAACCAGCTAAGCTATAGCCTAGCTATAGGGGAAACAGACGTGTAGCACGGAGCACGTTTATTCAGTACGTATATCGCGGATAACGTGTGTGTACAGGAAGGAAACTCATTCATACAACATGGCGGACTTTGGTAAAACAAGTGAGGGTCATTGAGCTGCTATTGGCTGCGTGCTCTTGTCCTCAATCCGTACGTGAGGTTGTACGGCCGCACCTCAAGCCTATGTGTACGCGTATGCGATGACGTGTCCCCCAGAATTCGTTTATTTAAGTTGTATCATTTGCGGTGACATGGAGCAAATCATTAAATTCTCTTTAGGTAGGAAAACATTGTAAAGGCTAAAGGTTATTAACTGGTCCATAGGTCTTTGCAATCGTGTAAGCATTCGGTCCTTATCCTGGTTGGTATCCTTTCTGCAACGTTACAGAATATCCAAAAGCACAAGCGCTGCCATGTTTCGGCCATGATCGCGTTGTGTTCCCCTAAATGTTTCAAAGCTAGTTATGGTGTCTCTACTTAAAGTTATTGAATAGCAACCTAAGTGGAGCAATTTATTTAATTGTATTTTAAAAAACTGTTTTAAAACGAACTCCTTCGCACGAAAATATTGATGTTTATTGCCAATTAGCGGTAAGCATACTTGGTAAGTAGTGCTGATAACGCTGGCTATCATGAAAACAGTAGGATATTATCTAAAGTTAAAATTTGATAAATAAACACTACTCTTACAATTGCATGGCTTCTATTAAGTAAACAAAACTTCATTTTATTTATAATTCAAATCCATTAAATAAAATGATATGATCTATTCGTTTAAGCGGATATACTATCACTTAAATTGGCCTAGAAATTGCACTAGTTCCAAATGCAATACAATATTAATAACTAAAAATACACTGACAAAACCCAACGCACAAACCTTATTGAAGGGCCAAATTACTGGTAACTATAACGATTTGCAAGTGGGGTGTGCGATGGTCTTTTGAAGACGAAATGCTTCATATAGGCAGAAGCAACGCTTTTCCGACTTTATATTAAAAATACTGGGTTTGCGATAGACATTACCTCCACGTGGTGCACCCTGAGAAACGTGTACTCATACGACAAATAGTCTATTAATCGGTAGTTGACATCTGACTTCAAACTACCATTTGATATAAATGAATAAAATACGATTTGCAAGTGCATATCCATCCTCGAAACAACTTATATACCAACTCGCAATTCAAACAGGACAAGTTTAACCATACTACACTCTTAAACAAATTTATTTTCATCAGTTATATTGGTAATAATTGAACAAAATCTTTAAGATTAGCTTTAGTTATATTAGGTAAAATAATTATATTTTCTAACTGATACTAATATTGTCTTTAAGGCAATTAATCGAGTTCGATTTAATAGAAGAATTTGAAAATCAGAAAATGGAGACTTAAGACTTTGAATTATTTATTTTAAACTCTATCATCTTATACTCAAAACAATGAAAACGTGTTCTTCATTTAAGAGACGGCTTTATTACGTCCCCTAATAAAATTAATAATTTTCTTTGAAACAATTAATTATTATTATGAATCTATTAAGAAAAAATTTCATCGGTATAGGTTTATATTTTGACCAGATCAACAGGTCGCACATCTCAATAGCACATTTCGAAACTCCTATAGCTATCTGTTTAGGCACTCGAGTCGGGTAAAGGGATTTTCAAAATAACTAGTCATGGTCCATTCAATGAAATGATCGTAACACCAGAATCAGCGCTGGGTAACCGAATAATCTTAAATATGTAATTAAGATCAGATTTTAACGTAAATTTTATTTGATATTCTAGATATATCAAACGGGAAAAATAACAGACATAAAAAATCGATAATAAATCTTTAGGTAAAGTTATAGCAAACACTTATTTTCCTCAATGATATTGAATCAGAGTGGTCTATTTTTCCGAGATCATAAGATATATAAATGCCATAAAGAGCAATATTTGAAAAAATTTGAAAACATAAGTGATTGTACAGTTAATATCTTTTGCAATTGAAGAAAGTTGTAGAAAAAACATTACTGGAGGTATTGATACTGCGCTGTTATGGTCCAAAGTAAACGGTTTTAAAATGTAAAAAAATTTGCTTTTCGTTATGTGTTGTAATTATATTTAATTTAGATAAAACTGTCACATATAATAAACCTAGTATTTTAAACTGTTTATTTACTTATATTTAATTTTACGTAAATGGTGCGGTTTCCTCAAGGACGTAAATAAATACCTCGCCTTTTATCTTAGTGTGACAGATCCACTAAATTAGTTAGGAGATAATAAACTTTGATGGAATGAATTATCCGTTTGACGATCTTATTTCTTTTAATGAACCTGAGAAAAGAAATAAAAGTCCAGCAAGAAGCAGTGTTCTTGAAGAGTTTGATCCACTTTTTGGTACAACTTTACACACAAGTAGAAAATCCTCACGAACAACTGTCACTTATCACTCTACTGAACGTAAACACGACATCCTGAGGAAAGAAAACGGCTCCGATGAAACGCGATCTTCATATCAAAATCGAATAGGGGGCGTTTTTGACAAAGACATTATTTGGGATGAATTAAATACCCTCGCGTATAATGAAAAGTCCCTCCAACCGAATAATCTTTCTTCCTCTAATATATCTTCGCCTACGGTCCCTCAACCTTTTCCGCTTATTAGGGTACCATTATTTGTCATTTATCGATGAAATATTTTATGTTATTCACCCATCAAAATTAATTATTTCTATATTATATCTTAATTTGTACTTGATTAGTCGATTCATCCTCGCTTTCGTCGACTAGTAAGAGGATTTGATTTCTCTTTTGCTATTTGTTTAAATTTTTTGCTGTGGTAACATTCCCTGTCAAGTGTTGATTGATATTAACATTTTAGATAGCTAGATTGCGCAAAACAATAAACTTCTCTTTTAATTTAGCAAAAATCACGAAGTAACAATCTTCTCTCTGACAATGTTTCTGTTGACAAAAGCCTACTGAATTTTGCCAAGGCTGTCGATAGGTGAGTTATTAATCATTCCCGCTTTTATGATAACGTGATAAAATCTATAATTTTACAAATTACACTAGTACTGCACTATTTTACGTCCATATAAATTAATTCCTTTTCAGTCCTCGTTGTAAAGTTTCATTGAAGATGTAATAGCTATTTCTCTCGTTCAACTCAAACGTGACTATCTTATTAGCCTGTCACATGGCGTAAAATTTTATAAATCACACGTAAAAAAAAATATTTTGGTTGTTTATTTAATTTGCATTTTATTTTCAGTTGTGCACAATGGTTACCGAGTGTCAATGTCAAATTTCCCTCCCCTCAAATCACTAAACTCGAGGATATTTCGATCTCAGAAACCCCTGTTGCTCTCAATGGCTACCTTATTGATGGGGTTATTAACAGTGACAAAAGCCTTTACTTGAGTCCTGTCAAAGTGGCCAAAATGTTTGATGATTGGCGTGTCAATCCCAGCCTTTTTAACATTCCAGATCGATTTTCGACCACTTCTTTCCTTCCGGTGTTGGGCGTCGACTCATTAGCTTCATGTACCTATAAAATCTATGTTCCTCGACCAGAGTACTTCCATAAACGTTTCGAGGACAGTGTCAAGAAGTTTTCATTAAGGGAACCCTTCAAAACTGAATGTTTTTGTAAGTATGCCTTTTCTATTTATTGAGCTCTTACCTATTTTACTGCGTTGTTTATTTAAATGTCATAAATTGCACGCGTGTTTTAGTGTGGTATTTTTAATGATATTTTTCAATTATTTTAAAACTATGGCGAGGGCCAATGCGTACCATCTAGTAAAAGCCGATGGCTTTAAATTCAAGTACGTCAAAGCTGGTTGTAATGGATTACGCATTTCAGACAAATCGAATTAAGTGCGTTCTTGTAGTTAGTTATTTATGCCAGGCCACAAATAATCAAAATAATCTCTTTCAGCTTTGTGAATACCTACTCCAAATAAATTAGTTCATTCATGGGTATTTTTAATTCTCCTGAACATTGATTTGAACTCCTCATCAAATACAATATCGTGTTACACTTATTATTACTGATTCCAATAAGAAAGAACTCATTTCACAAACGGATGTTTAAGTTCGGTTGGTGACCAGACACGATGAAGGAGACAATTTAGAAAGTATTCCTTCTTAATAGGCAAAATTTTCATCATCATCTATGAACAATACTTTTCATTAAGGTTAAAAATGCCCAATTTTGGCTTACACGATCTCAATTGTGCAATAGGTTTTTAATGACGTCCAAAAATCAGGTCAACCAACAGATTTTGATGATGAAGTTTTCAAATCTTTGATTGGCACAGATTCTCAGTTAATTTTTTGGTAGAAATACTGCAAAGACTCTCGTGTATATTATGAACTGTGTAGTTACACACAAAATGAGTCTGTAAATCTAATAGGATGGAAATTTGCTTGCCGCTACACCAGCTCTTCCAGCATAACAAAAATAGGCATAGAAAACCGAACATTTCCCTGTTGTCCAGACAGAAAATTCGTCCTTTTGGGCCCAGCTCCTCAAAGCAAGAATGACCTCCCAAAACTCAGGAATTAAATTGGAGGGTTCTGCCACGTCTATCATATTCGTCAGATCCCCCCCCCCAGCCCATTATTACCTCTTTGGGTGCATGGAGCATATTGTGAGAGTAAAAATTTCATAATCCGGCCGAAGTGTTAATCCATTTGAATATATATTTTATTTCATTAACAACAGAGTTCCTTCAAAGAGTTTGGTCGAATAGATTAAGGAGCTAAGCGAATGGTAGTGAAAATCATACTATATAGCGCCAGGTATATAATTTAAAAATCAGAAACATTTTAATGTCTTCAGAGTGTGCTATTTCTTATTGGTTTCCCGGGTATATATTTAAAGTCTTTCATGATCATAAATCTTGCCATTATTCGCGCACTTTCTAACTCTATCGATTTCCTCTCAGCACCATGTTATTGATGTTGATTGCTCAAAAAATGCACGTTTAGAAATATGGTTTATAATTTTGAGCTAATAAACAGGATTTTCATTTTAACGACTTTATAACCTAATCGAGCTGACAATTTTCAATAATCGTGTGAATACTCGTTCTTGATTGGGTGGGTGGGTGGGGGGGGGGGGGGGGGGGGGGGGGGAGGAAGTAACACTAGATGGTACCATCCCAATTCTTCTGGCTAGTTCTATTGGTTTATTGTGCTTACTATTTTAGCAACTAAGTTGGTGTCCACCCTGATGGAAGAGTGTCTTCAGGAGGTCTTTAAGGATAGTTACTCCACCCCGAAGACGTCGGATTTCTGCTTCCGTATCCTCGGTAAAACCGATATATTGCATCCGTAAGTTGCCTTTATGTGTCTCGCCTATTTCAGGACTTTTACTAATTGTTGTCTTCACAATTGTTTACTTGCCTTAAAAGTTCACTTGAGTGTTTATTAAATTTGCCTCACGGGCTTGTTGTTTTTATTGTGTTGATGCCTGGTTTCTATATTGGAATATTTGTACATTTTGGTTAATTTTGTAAAAATTATAATTACAGGCTTAAATTGGTCAAGGAATTGAGCGTAAAGCCCCCTATTCCGCGTTTCTTTTAGGATCTTTCGAACTTTCATTAAGACTCACATTTTAGTTGTTTGTAGTTAAGCTTTGTTTGTAATTGGATGAAATATTAGTGAAATTTTGCATTCATTTACATTTGCTTAGACTCGTAGTCCAAATTCCGGTTGGCAATACTCTGGAGGTGGTGGAAAGCTCACGTTCCCGAATCGAGGAAATTCCAAAAGTACTTTTAAAATTGACTAATGACGGAGCTTTGCTAATTCACAATTAGTCTGTGCAGGATGTTTAATTATTTAGACTTCTTAAACATTGGGAGAGCAAAATAGAATGAGGTGGTAAAAGGGAATATCGTGATTGAAAAGCCGATCAACAGGCATTGAACCTTTTTGACAAGTAATTACTGCAATCCACTGAACAAATCGTGGAATTTGAGTTTTTAAACTTACAACCCGAAAGCATTACTGCTAGTATGAAATGAGAGAATAGTAAAAAATGATGGGTTTTGAGTTTTTTCGTCACATTAATTAGTGTTTACTCGACCTTTACGCGTCAACACCATTTGTGGTTCTATAAATCCACTCTCTTATTGACTTCTATATATGACTTGATCCGTTGGAAAGTAATCGGATGAAGTCAATCGTCTTTAAGGATGGTTAGGCCACACTGGAGAATTTAAGGCTAACAACTAAGGCTTCGGCACAATCGACAACAAGATCACATGTCGTCAACCTCAACGATCCATAAACATTTCAAGGTTCCAATTTTCAGGTGCTGAAAGGCCTACAAATGATGGAGTCATTTGAAATACTAAGTCTTATAAAGCTTAAAGTTTACATAAAGTTCAACCTGAGCCTCTTGAAATCAGCCTTTGAGAAAGCGACGAAAAAACTGATCTGAATTGTGAATAAATACTACTCTCAGTACCCGTGTTCCGATTCGCTTTGTCTTCCTCCTACAACTCCAACTTTAAGGCTACATATCAGCTTTTTTCTTTATTCTTTTTATCTGTAGAAAAAATGAGGCATAAGTATTGAACAAAGACTACGTGAATTGTGACGAACGCTAAGAGGGTTGCGTTCTGTGTTTATTAACCTGTAATTGAAAGGTAAGTCAAGAGTATGAGGTAGAAGGCCCACCGTATATAGTGAGGCTGAGTGGGCCTATGAGTTGTTGCAACTATGTAATGCAATTTCCGTCGATGAGCTTCTAATTTAATTTTAAAGCAATTTTTTCCCATTGAACTGATTAGTTTGTAATTCACCGAATCCTGAAACTGATACTTCATTGGTTTTAATAGTCATGCAGCTCTTGGTGATCATGAATATATTCAAAGTTGCTGTCGAGCAAAGAACGATGTTTACCTAATCCTCGAGCCTTATGCTGTGCAAGAGCTTTTCTTACCCACTGTAAGTTGAATATTCAAAACTATTTTAAGGTCACATTTCTTTCCTTCATTTATTTATTTCTTTTCCTCGCTTTTTAGCCTGAGGATAGAGTCAACAAACTGAACCTACATGATCTTCCCACTATGCAATCGGATATTCCTGATAGGTTGGTTTCTATTATCCGCCTGTATTATTTTAACCAATAGCGAAGCAGTAAAGTCGTTTTATGATTTTTCATCTCTTTATCTTTTTTTCTTAAGAATCGCGATTGAGGAATCCGTGAAGAAGATTCAGTTTTACATTGATAAACTCATGAAACAGATTCCCGCAATGTCAACGGTAAGTTTGCCTCCTACTTCCTGGGACAAGAAGGACCATTTAGTCATTTTCGTTTTTTCCAGTTGTAAAGGTTTCAATCGTGTAGTAACCCGTCGATATAAATTATTAACTTGTCATTTTACCTTGATTCCTCAGCCTCATCTACGTTTTGATGAGATAATCAAATGTGTATTTTTAGCATATCAGAGCTCATTTAAGTGCGTTGATATCAATTTTTAATGATTGATCGCAATAGTAGCAAAAGCAAAGTAGTCAGTTTTTTCATAATTGAACAAAGTCGCACTATTTTATTATTATTGAAATGGAAAGGTGTGTATAGATATGAGAAGTCGCTTAATGGGTAGTCGCACCATGGTAGCATGTTTGCGTGTTTGTAATGTTTAGCTTTGTTTACATGAACTTGCGGTTACAAATTGGCTTAGTATTTTTCTAGGTGTCATTTTGCTGATCAATCTTATTACAGATAGCCACTCCAAAAACCGATTGTCGATCATTTTACTCATATTTTTAATATTTATTTGTTTCAAATGACGGGCGTTTTGATAGTTATCATTAGTCCTTTAGCCGACTTCGGGTTTCATAGAGGGGAGGAGCAGCAAAGTCACATAAAGTCGATGGGGGGGGGGACGGAAGAGTGATTCACAGATGGAGAAGAGACAGAGTGATACAAAGGCAGAAAAAAGATAAGATGAGTATTGTGAAAGTGGTCGGATATGGCATAGAGTCAGGTCATTGTTGTTTGAAGTTAGAAGTCAATTGCCGGTTTATATACTTTTTTGTCGTATGAGTTTACGTTTCCCAGGGTGCACTACGTGGAGGTAAGTCTACCGCACACCCCATATTTTAATATAAAGTCGGGAACGTGTTGTTTCTGCCTTTATGAAGCATTTCATCTCCAGAAAGGCCCTTTGTTGTTAATACTCGACTTAATATGAATGCTAGAAAAGGTATTCCTGTGGTGGTATTTGCGATTCTTTCTCTAATCGACTTTTGTCTAAAGCCATCTCCTCTATTCAACCTCCAAAAAATTGAAATGGTAAATTATTGATGTGAAGTGGCTGAAATATTCCATGTTAAGTAGATCACATAAATGTATTGAATTTTACTTTACTCATTCACTTGTTACTCTATAGTGAGATCATTAGCGTTTGTTGGCTTGCCAAGCACTTTTTTGTTATTCCGTTATTAATACAATAATAATCTAATTTTTGTTGCTTAGAGCACTTTGGACACGGTTGGCGAATTATGTGGACGGTTGAAAACGGCTGTGGATGATCATATTTCAAATATCTGTCACCGAACAGCCATCTATTCGCTTTCAGAAACAATGGAATCCTTCCAGTGCTGTCTACACCATTTAATTAGGAACAAAACTAGGGGAAAGGTAGATCATTTTTCATACTTACACATTTTCTGTTAATAATCACAATTTCCTTAAGAAATTTTAGATGTCGTTTAACTTTTATTAGTCCATTTGTACCATTAAGGTTACTATACCCGCGTAGTTAAGGCAATTCGGGTTTAATTCTTTTCATTGAATCATTAAATTTGTATTTCCTTGCTAGTTTGTCTTAATTCTGTTAACGAAATGGCATTCCTGAGTAATTTCCCATAACTTTTTATAGCTATCTTTATTTATCTTTGATTGATTTGTTCTGTTGACTCACCCAGACTAAAAATAATTTAGATGAATGCGAGATAATTTTAATATTTGTTTACAAATAGGCGCAGTTATAAAATTCTAAAATTTTGGGTGGGTATCAATGATTGGTTATGGTCACAACATGTGGACCAATCACTACGGAGATATACCTTCAATCCAATTGGTCAATGAGACATCTGAGTTATCAGCGCCATACCTGACTATTTCACTACAGTTGAAACAAGCCGGCCTGCTTCTTTTTGCTATTAGTAATTCCATAGGGAATTGTCCTCCAAATCTTTGATGAGCTATCTTTTTGGGATTTGCCATTTGTCATTGCTACCTCCTCTTTTTGTATGACCTGTCGTTTTCCTTTCTGATGACTGGAACGAAACACTACATTCACTCTTGTTTTTTTTGGAAGAAGATCTCCATTCATTACCTTCTTAACATAATTTACTCTGAATTCAAGTTTCAGCTCATTTACTATGGCAGCCACTAGATCATATTTGTCTTCTCCTTTCACTTCACTTTATTGCATATTCGTGGGGATTTTTCGGGGGATTTTCATTTGTTATATCATTCTTCGAGTTGTTTATTGGTCGGTTTCATCTCCTGAATGACGTTTTTTCTTGTGGATTCTGATTTCATTCGGTTTATTGTTTATCTTTGCTCTCGTTTACCACACAAAATGTTTCTGTGTGATTTTGCTGGGCATGTAGATGGCAATGACAGTGAGCATCTTTTTCGCTGTGTTTATCCTCGAATTGGTTTAAATGAATCCTTTACTATCATGGGTCTTATTGCGTACCATTAAGTCAGCTTTAAAGCATTAATGTTCTTAGATAATGTTCTTAGAGACCTTGGTTTTCCAAACCTCAAAGAGTTATAGAATGCCGACTCAGGTCTACTACATGAAGTGGCCTTTTTCCAAAAGGTACTCCACAGTCTATAGTTATTGCTTCGCTAATTCTCTTATACCTTAGAAGATATCCTGTACCTCTGATTAGCAAAGGCATAAAGTGAATGGAGTGTTCATTCATTTTATACTCTTTTAGGCCTTTAAGTGAGTTAACTTTTATTTCGTTAATATCTTTTCCCCAGTAAATTCACAATCTCGTATAAGTGAGATGATTGAGGCTGTACTGTTTGGTATTTAGCTTCTGGGTAAATAAACTCTTTCCGAAATTTGATGGTTATTCTCGGTGCCTAAATCCCATTTATATTCCACCACAACTTCAAAGTCATCTTACAGAAATTCTACAGTTCTGAGAACATAAATTCTTCTTTAAGAAGTTTTTTTTAATTAGTGTTATTCCATGAGAGGTCACAACTCATCTACATTACTGTGGTGGAAGCATGGTCTTAATAAGTCTTTGTTAAAAACATCTTTTGGTTGCATTAAAGGTGGTAATAAGATCTGAGAACCTTTTGTGACCACAATGACCACTCTCTCCTGTGATTCGTCTTCCCCACTCTTCAGCACTATGTATCTCTCTGTTACTTGAATTCTGACATGTGTTTGTGGAGGTGGTTATAATTAGCTTATTAACTTAACCACCTTCAACGTGCCTGGCTGTTTACAACTGATTAAACAGATGACTAATCTTGCCATCCGAATAACTGGCCTCCATAAATCGATATCTTGACTCACTATTGAATATTTAAGCGCCTAGAGATCTGGATGGGGAGGTACCTTTCAATTACATCGAATGTACGTCAATTTCCAAACTGGGTAATCACTCTTTCTCTTTTTTGCTTTTTTCCAGAAGCAGGCAGTCAATGGCCGATGGAATCCTCATGTCGAAAGCTCCATGAATCATGTTAGTGATCAGGATGCTATCGATAAATTGGCTATTCTGGAGTTTCAAGTTATTCGGCAGACCGTCGCTTTTTTAAAGTGGAAACAGGCCTGGCACCCTAACCTCCAACTATCTATTGCTCGATCGGCACCTTGTAAGCATAATATTTTTCTTTAATTTCACCACATTTTACTAATATATTTATTTATTGCAAATGGCAGGCGTTTTGATAGTTATCATTAGCCCTTTAGCTGACTTCGGGCTTCACAGGGGGAAGGAACATCAAAGTAACAGAAAGTCGAGGGGTGGGGAACAGAAGAGTGATTTACGGATGTAAAAAGACATATACGAAGGCAGAGAAAAGGTAGGATGAGTACTGCGGAAGTGGTAGAATATGGCATACAATTGGGCCGTTGTAGTTAAAAGCCAGCAGTCAATCGCCAGTTAATAGACTTTTTTCCGTATGAGTATACGTTGCCCAGGGTGCACCACGTGGAGGTAAGTCTATCATACACCCCCCATTTTACTAATATAATTCAAAGTCAACCTTTATTGCCAATTGTTTGACTACATGAGTACGGCAGTAAAGTAGCGCTTAACCCGGCCGGTAGAACCACTTTGGCAACCAATCAGATAAGGTTTTGATTTATTCACCTTTAAAGCTAAAGACCTTCCCAAAGCAGAAGACCTTGACTTGAGTTCAGTATTTGGACCAATATAA